TCCCATCCTGTCCCCGCTCACCGCAGTACCCCGGTGTCCCACACACGGTTTTCATCGTGTCCTGCTCATCCACGATCTTGGAGAGCCCGAAGTCACCTTGCAGGGACACAAGGGAGTGGCATTGTCACCAGGGATCCCCTCTGGTGCCACCAGCCCCCCCCAGGGTCCCCAACTCACCGATTTTGAGGGGTGCATCGGGGGACAGGTCAGCGTAGAGCAGATTCTCCGGCTTCAGGTCCCGGTGCACGACTCCGTTCTCGTGCAAATACTGAAAAAAAAAAAGGGAAAAATGGGATGAGAAAAGGGAGGGAATGGCCCTGGTCAGGATTTGGGAGGTGGCAGCAGCAACTGGGGACCTGTCACAAAATCGGGACTGACTCTGAAACAGCCACAGCTGTGCTGGATCCGTTTCCAGTTCGGAATTCCTGTTTTTTAAACCCTCCTGTTGCCATGGAAACTCTAGGATGCAGAGCAGCCCTGACCTTCCTCCTTCCTCCTCTTCATCCCCCCCTCTAAGAGTGGATCCAGCTGCTCCCAGCGGTGCCTTTGGAAGGCCAAGGGCGAGGGGACAAAGGAGGTTTGGGATGGGGACAGATCTGGAAGCCCCTTCCCACAAATATTTGGGATGGGGACGGCTCTGGGAGCCTCTCCCCGGGGATATTTGGGATCAGTTCAGCTCCAGGCCCCTCTCCCCGGGGATATTTGGGATCAGTTTAGCTCCAGGCCCCTCTCCCCGGGGATATTTGGGATCAGTTCAGTTCTGGGTGCCTCTCCCCAGGGATATTTGGGATCTCCAGGCCCTTCTCCCCGGGGATATTTGGGATCAGTTCAGCTCCAGGCCCCTCTCCCCAGGGATATTTGGGATCATTCAGCTCCAGGCCCCTCTCCCCAGGGACATTTGGGATCTCCAGGCCTTTCTCCCCAGGGATATTTGGGATCAGTTCAGCTCCAGGCCCCTCTCCCCAGGGATATTTGGCCACAGCCCCCCAGTTCCACCCCAAACCACCCCCAGGACCCCCAGTCCATCCCCACGGTCCCGTTACCGAAACCGCCTCCAGGATCTGTTTGACCACGTGCGCCGCATCCCGCTCGCTGTAGAACCCCCTCTCCACGATCCTGTGGGCACACGGAGCCTTCAGCCCCTCCATCCTCCTCCTCCTCCTCCTCCTCCCCATCCCCTGGGATCCATCCCTGTACCTGTCGAAGAGTTCTCCCCCCGTCACCAGCTCCAGCACCAGCGCGATCTCCGAGGGCGTCTCAAAAATCTCCTTCAGCTTGATCTGGAAAGGGACAGCGGGGATGTGGGGTGTGGGATTTGGGGTGTGGGACTGTGGGGTGGGGGATTTGGGGTGTAGGATTTCAGGGTGTGGGATGCAGGATGCAGGATTTGGGATGTGTGGGATATGGGATGTGGGTTATGGGATATGGGATGTGGGATATGGGATGTGGGATATGGGATATCAGATATGGGATGTGGGATTTATGGGATATGGGATACGGGATATGGGATGTGGGATTTATGGGATATGGGATGTGGGATATGGGATATCGGATATGGGATACGGGATATGGGATGTGGGATTTATGGGATATGGGATGTGGGAATGCATCCTGGCAGCTCCAGGAGGAGGCTGTGACCACCAGGGAGTGGGTAAAGGATTCTTTCAGGGCAAACATTTCCCTCCTCCATTTGGTTTTTCCCCCACTCTCGATTTGTTTCCCCCTGTTTGTTTTTTTTTAACTGTTCACAGCAGCCCCGCTCACTCAGCAGGGACCAAAGACGAATGTGGGAACGTGCAGAGCCCTGACCCCCCTCACATCTCCGAGCTTGTTTGTCACACGAGGAGCTCCCTGAGAACATTTCAATTTTTCCTCAGAGCTCCTGTCCAGCCCTGCAGTGTGGGCTGCATCCCCCGGGACGGATCCTGGTCCTGCACACCTGGCTGGAGGAGGGAGAGCCCAGCACACCCTGCCAGGTCACGGCCACTCCTGGATCAAAGCTCTGGGAATGTCCCTTGGATTGTTCTGCAGCACAAGAGGCACCAAACTCGTGTTTTCCTCCCGATTTTTTGTGACTCGGCTCCCACACGAGCCCTTTGTGCCTCTACAGCCCATCTGGAATTAACAATTCTCTCTTAAAGCAACATCCAAATGCAATTTTCCTTCTTTTTTTTTTTTCTCCTCTTTTTTAAAAAAAAAAAAAAAAAAAAAAAAATGGAAACCCAAGAATTTCATGCTTCTTAAAGACTTTTGTGACACCACGAATTTCATGGGGCTTTAATCATTCCCTTGCCAGGCTGGGTGACAAGCCCTGATCCCCCGCGGGGTGAGAGACACTATGTGGCAGCTTATTGCATTATAATAATACACGGAGCACTATAATTTTCCTATTAACTTCAAAAGTTTACAATCCTATTATCAGCCGCTGCCGAGGTCGGTGCCGCACGATAGCGGCAATAATGGAGCAGAGCAGCTCCTCTTCAAACATCACTTGAACTTGGGATGAGCGCAACCCCACGGAAACCTCGGGGATTTAAATATTCAAACGGGCTGGATCCTCCTGCACGGCTCCGAGGAGAGGGGAGGGCGGAAATTGGATTTTCTGTGGCGTTCCTGATAACACATCAGAGAGGATCCTCTTCCCATGCCCGGCTGGAGTCACCTGAGCTGCTCTGAGGGCGTGATTCCCATCCTGGCTGTGATCCCAGATGTCCTGGGATAGGGGAAATGTCCCCATGGAAGAGGCGGAAGCACCAAATTGCCCCGAAATACTGAAACACCCCAAAACAGACCCACACCGAGCTGGCTGAGAGGTTTAGAGACAAACTGTCCCCAAGTGCTTTGACCTCTTTATCTCTGGGATTTCTCTTGGTTTCATCTCTTTGCATGAAGGTTTTGGGGTTTCTCCAGAGAGTAAAGCTCCGAGGAGGATTGGCTGGGAGTGGCCATGCCCAGGGTTTGAGGGATGCTGCAGCTGCAGCGACAAGACAATGTCCCGGTGATGTCCTGACAGTATCCCGGTGATGTCCCGGCGATGTCCCAGATGTCCCAGTGATGTCCCGACAATGTCTCAACAATGTCCCGACAATGTCCCAGCGATGTCCCAGATGTCCCAGTGATGTCCCGACAATGCCTCAACGATGTCCCGACAATGTCCCAGCGATGTCCCAGGATGTCCCACTGATGTCCCAATGATGTCCCGACAATGTCCCAGCGATGTCCTGATCACAATCCCAACAGGATCAGGGCTGTCCCGACCCTTTAGCCCCACAGCAGCTCCCAGGTATTTTTTTTTTTGTGTGTGTCCTTTCCTTAACTCAGGAGCTCTCCAAGATCCTTTTCCGATTTCCCGGTGACACCACACAGTTGGGAATTAACCTTTTTTGGGAGGCTGGGATTGGCCCTGGCATTCCAGAGGGGCTCTGCTGGCCCAGGCAGGATTAGATCCGCTCTGGGCATTGTGAATCACTCCAGCCCCACTCCCGTTATCCCTCTGGAGCTCCCTGGAATATCCAGGAATTATCCCTGGAATGCTGAGCAAGGGAACAGGACACGGCCCCAGCCCCCACGGCCCCGGCCTCTCCTTTTATCTCCCCTGGCAGGATTCATTACAGAGCAGCAATTTTCCCTGGGATTCATTTGATCTCCTCGATGGAAATTGCTTGCCTGGTGGAAATCTCAAGCCAGGGCGTGGGGAGGGGGAGGACGGGGGAGTCCTTGGCCTTGGATATCAGAGCTGGGAGCTCAAAGGAGCTGCAAGGAGCAGGAATTTCATGTGGCAGAGAGTGGGGAATCACCTGGAGGCTGTCAGTGAGGCAGGGAGGGGACGTGGGGTGCAGGAAGGAGATGTGGGGGGCAGGGAGGGGATGTGGGGTGCAGGGAGGGTTTTCCATGGGGTGATGCCTTCATCCTGCACCCAGATGGGATGAGGACAAGGAAATCCCAGCCAAGGAAATCCCAGCCCTTCCCTCAGCACTGAGCTGAGTCTGGGGCAGACCCCCGGTCCCAAAGGGAGGTGGCAGCTGTGTCACGGGGCTCCTACTCACGATGTTGGGGTGCGAGAGCCGCAGCAGGACCCCGATCTCCGTCCTCACGATCTTTTTGTCGATCTGGGAAGCAGAGCCCACACAGAGCTTGTGTCACCTGCACTGCCAGGCCTGGCCCTGGCTCCCCACCACGCAGAGACCCCCCCCCCCCCCCCATTACTCCCAGCACATTCCCGTCTGTCCCAGAGCCCCACCCCAAATCCCAGCGCTTTTGGACATGTGGGACCCCCGGATTGTGGGAATGATGCCCGGTGACAGCCCCATGCCCGTCCTGGTGCCAAGGGGCAGGGGAGGAGAGACACCCCCAGCCCCCTCTCCAGCTTCCTGGTGCTCCCCCAGCCCCTCTCCTGCCTCACTCACCGTTTTCTTCAGGATCTTGGCAGCGTAAGGAGCTCCCGTGCCCTTCTCCTGGCAGCTGAACACCACCGAGGTGGCTCCCCTGGCAGGGCAGGGGGATGTGAGGCTGGCACAGAGCTGGGGGTCTCGCTCCCCCCGTGCCCCCCAGCAGCTCCTTAGGCTGTGCCAGGCCCTGGGAGCTCAGCGTGGATCCCACTCTTCATGGATCCTGCTTTTCATGGATCCCCCTCCTGAATTCCCTTCCTCCTGCAGCCCCCTATTCTTGGATCTCATTTTTCATCCATCTCCCTCCTCCTGCATCCCGCCCATTCCTAAATTCCCTTCCTGTACCCCTCTCCTTCCTCCCCACCCCACATCCCCTTCCTGCACCCTCTCCTGATGCATCCCTTTCCCATATCCCATTCCTCCTGCACCCTCCTCCTGCATCCTAAGGCTCTTTAATTAAAACCCGAGTTCTACAGGGGGTTTAAATCCCTAAGCGGCTTTCACGACAGGACGGAGCCGCCGTGTCCCCGCTCGGTGACAGCAGCGACACTGCCGGGTCCCCGTCCCGGCCGATTCCCGACACCGGACACCTCCCAGCCCGGTGAAACCGCCTCGGGTGACACGGGGACAGTCGCCCCTCGGCCGATGGCGATCTCAGCTCGGGTTAATCGCGTTTCCTGAGCTCTGGACGATGAAATCATCCCAGCGCTCCGGGCCATTCCGGAGCCCATTTGCAATTTCATCTCCCTGCCTGGCTCCTGCAGCAGATTAATTCCTGCCCCCGGGGTAATCGGAGGAGTTTTATCGCACTTTGGCTTCGCCGCCTTCTCGGACGGAGCTCAGGCAGCGCCTGGAGGTGCGCGGCAAGATCAGATCCCCAAAACCAGCGATTTTCACACCAAAACCTCCTCTAAACCCACCAAACCCCCCCCCCCGCTGCATCCCCCGAGCTCCCGGGCGCTCTCCTGAAAGAGGGATTTGTCTTCAAACCCAGAGCAGATTTTGCAACTCATCCGGCTGAACTTGGGAACGGCGTTCCCATGGCAACGGCAGCGCCGGGTACCAGATTCCTCCGGGATGCTGCGGGATCCAGCTGCGAGCTGGACCCCGACCCTGCCCAGCTCCAAAACATTTCCTCCCTTCTGCCAAACGTTCTCCTTGAAACTTTCAGTTTACAGAGAAAAAGGGATTTGGAAAGCGAATTGTTGCAGCTGGGAGGGGAGGGGCGGCCACCACGTGCTCCAGCTCAGGAGAACGAGCAAAAGCTGCGATTTGACCCCAAAATGGCATCGCCGCTGCTGCCACCACCACAACAACGCTTTTCCAGAGGGAGAAGCCACCAGGTTATTCTGGGCATTTCCCAGCTGGGCTGGGCACGGGGCAGGACCCTCCAGCCTCTCCCCACAGCAGAATCCCAGCCAGGTTCTCTCACCCTCCCTCCACATTTTTCCGCACGGACAATTCCCAGCCCGATTCCTGCCGTTAACGAGATCATTTAGGAGCGCTCGGCTCGGTGTTTAGGAGGATTCGGGCCGGCTCCTGTGCCCGCTGTGCCCGTGGCGCTGCCCCTCACGCGTCCCCAATTACGGATCCGCGCCGGAATTCGCCACACCTCGGGCCCCGGCCCCGCCGGCCCCCGCAGCCGCCGCTCAAGGCCTCAAATAAATATCCGCAATCAGCCTTGCCTGCGACGGGAGATAATTGCATTTGCTTTCCAGATGAACTGGAAAATGTCGAACGATGGGATTTGCCGAGAGGCTGGAACGTGCAGGGCCGGCAGCAGCCCCGGGCTGGGTCCTCCCTGCTGTCCCCACATCCCTGCCCTGCTCCTTCCATCCCTCTCCTGCTCCCTGGGGCTTCCTGGCCAGAGCCCCGTCCAACCTTACCAGGAGAGGCTCTAAGGGAGAGCTGTGCATGGTGAGTGGGTTCCCAAATCCCAAATCCCAGCCAGATCCCAACACACTGTGAGTGAGTGGCTCCGGGACTGAGAGCAGCTTGATTTAAATCTGGTGCTGAAACTGGATGGATGGATGGATGGATGGATGGATGGATGGATGGATGGATGGATGGATGGATGGAGGGATGGAGGGATGGATGGATTCATTCCAGGGGCTCCAGGCCTGTCCTTCTGTCCTACACCCCTCTGTGCTGCCAGCACGAGGTGTGATGTGACCACACCTCGATACAAACCCTTAAATTCCTGCTTCCACCAAAACTGCTGCTTTTCAGGATTCTCTGAGGATGGAAACCCAGTGGCAACTGAGACTGGCCCAGCCTGAACCACCAAACCCCTCTGCTCCAGAGCCAGGGCTCCCAGGCAGCGCTGCCTCCCCACACTGGCACAGCCCAGAGCCCCCACAAACGGGACCAACAACCTCCCCACCATGGGCTCCTGGCACCCCCTGGCACCCCCTGGCACCTGAGGGGCGCCAGGACACCTCACCCGGGATCACAGCTCTCAGGTGGGCTGTCCACCCAAACCCAGAGCTGGGGATTCAGACTCTTTGTGGAGGCTGGCACTGCCTGGCCTTTGCCTGACCCTGATTGTCCACCCTCAAAACCTTGGGGTGCTCCGAGGGGAGATGGGACTCCCCACGATCCCACTGCCATGGAGATGAGGAATATCCAGTTCCACAGGCCCAGGGACACCCGGCCCAGCCTGCAAACCCCCAGTGAGAGCTCCCAGACCGTGGCTGCAACATCACAGCACAGTCCAAGCACCAGGTTACACAACAGGGGAGGGTCTGTCACCACCCACCCCCCTTATCCATCCTCCCACCCTTCCATGGCCCCTCTACATCCATCCCTTCCTGCATCCCTCCATTCTTCCATCCCTCCTCATCCATTCCTCCCACATCCATCCATCCCCTTTGTACCTGTCCGTCCCTTCTTGCATCCTTTCCTGCATCCCTGCACCCCCATTCCTCCTCATCCACCCCCCCTGAATCCCTCCAACTCCCCTATCCATCCCCTCTGTACTCCTCCACCCCTCCCCACATCCTTCCATCCCTCCTGCTCCCCTCCATCTCTCCTGCCTCCCTCCAGCCCTCTCTCCACCAACCCAGTCCCAGTCCCAGCCAGGACCCGCTCCCACCCCAGGGGGGCTCCTGCCCCTCCCAGCCCCTCCCTGTCCGCTCTCCCCGCCCGGTACCGTCCCAGCTCGGGGCCCACGACGTAGAAATCTTCCAGTGCCGCCTCCCGGTGGGATCCATCGATCCAGAATTCGCTCCCGCTCTTGGAAGACGGCATGGTGGGCTGGGGGCTGCGAGCTGCCGCCAGCTGCTGGGAAGGGGAGACCCCAGCATGGATCTCAGCAGCCCCCCGGCCTCACCCCCACCCATTCCCCCCCGCGCTTCCACGAGCGCCCAGATGGCTCGGGAAAAACCAGAGCTCGGGATTATCGAGCGCCACGGAATCACGGCCACAAATCCGCTTCCCACCCGGCACGTACGATGCCTTTTCCGAGATAATTCCCCCCGCTCTGGGATGTGTCCCCCCCACCCCGGCTTTTTCCATCACCTCTTTCCCACCCCATTCCCACCTGTCTGGGGATCCCCCCGGCAGGCTAGGACTGATTTGCACCCCGATTCCTGCAGCCTCCCCCAAACCCCCCCCCCCGGGTAATTTTGGGGTGGGGTCTCGGCCCGGCACGTACCGTCACCTGCGGCTCCGCTCGTGTCCCCCCCGGCGCTGCCTCATCCCCGGCGCGGAGCGGCCGTGCCGAGGGTGGGCACGGGGCTGGTTCTGAGCCTCCCCGCAGCCCCCCGGGCCCGTGCGGGCCCCCCCGCTGCTCCCCAAAATGGGGCGTCACGGCTCAGCTGCTCGGGGGAGGCTTCACGGGGCTCTGAGCGGCGCTGGGCTGGGAGGATGCAGCGATGGGAAGATGGAGGGATGCAGGGATGATAAAGGGATGGGAGGATCCGGGAATGGAGGGATGCAGGGATGGCGGGACGCCGGGATGCAGCGATGGGAGGATGCAGGGATGCGAGGCAGCACCGGGAGAGAGCGATGGGAGGATGTGGGAGTACCGGGAAGCACCGGGAGGATGCGGGGATACCGGGCAGCACCGGGAGGCAGGAATGAGAGGCTGCCGGGCTCCGGGAAGCGGGAACGCCGCGCTGCAGGGAGAGAGGAAGGTGGGGATGCGGGGCCGGGGCTGCCGAGCACCGGGACCCTCCCAGGCAACATCACCGGCTCCGCCGCGCTCCCGCCTGGCTCGGCCGTGCCACCCCCCGGCCCGGAGCCGCCACTGCACTCCCCCCTCCGCCCCTCGCCCCCCCCCCGGGGCTGCGGGACCCCTCCGGTGCTCGAGGAGTCCGGGTGGCCCCGACCCCACAGGAGCCGGCCCCGCGGCGAGGGCACCGCGGCCGCTCCCCGGGAGCAGCCGGAAGCCCCCCGGAGCCGCGCCCCCCATCCCGCCCCGCAGCCCCCGCACCCACCGGGGCCGGGCTGTGCCCCGGCGGGCAGGCAGAGCCCGGAACCCCCCGGGGCCGGGGGGTTCGAACGGGCGGGGGGCGCGGGCGCTGCCCGGAGCCGCCGCACGGTGACGCCGTCGCCCACCGGATGGGAACGGGGGGGGGGCGGGGGGGAAATGGGAAATGGGGAGGTGGGAGGGGATGGGGAGGGGCTGAGATTGGGATTGGAGAGGGGTTGGGTTACGGGCCTGGAGTGGGAATGGGGCTGGGAATGGTGGGAATGGGAATGGTGGGAATGGGACTGGGAATGGTGAGAATGGGACTGGGAATGGTGGGACTGGGAATGGTGGGACTGGGACTGGGAATGGTGGGACTGGGAATGGTGGGAATGGGAATGGTGGGACTGGGACCGGGAATGGTGGGAATGGGACTGGGACTGGTGAGAATGGGAATGGTGAGAATGGGACTGGGAATGGTGGGAATGGGAATGGTGAGAATGGGACTGGGAATGGTGGGGCCCGGCTGGAGGAGGGGGATGAGATGGGAACAGGGATGGGTGGGTTCAGAATGGGATTGGAATTTGGGATGGGGATGGGATGGGGCCAGGAACAGGACGGGAATGGAGATGGGATGAGATAGGGCAGGGCTGGGACTGAGAATGGGATGGGAGTGGGGACGGGGTTGGGATGGGGTCAGGGATGAGATGGGAATGGGGATGGGAGTGGGGATAGGGCCAGGATTGGGGCCAGGAACAACAGAATGAGAATGGACGTGGGGTTAGAGAAGGAGATGGGATGAGGCCAGGGATTGGACTGGGCTGGGACTGTGGATGGTGTTCAGATGGGGCCAGGGATGGGATGGGAGTGAGGATGGAATAAATCCAGGAATGGGATGGGAGTGAAGATAGGAGAAGGATAAGAATGGGGCTGGGATGGGGCCAGGAACAGAGGGGGAGTGGGGATAGGGCTGGGGTGCCGTGTCCCCGTGTCTGGGGCCCCCCACACTGTTGGGGAGCCCTGTGGGGTGTTGAGTTCCCCACAGCAAAGGGAGCAGGAAATCCCTCCTGAACACCCAAGGCGAGGAAACAGCAGATTTTTATGTTTTTCAAAATATTAAGAATTGGAAATAGGGAGATCATGCCACAGGACAGCGACCCTCCAGTGGGACTGAGGGACAGACAGGTCCTGAGGATGCTCCAGGACCCCCCAAATCCCTCAGCACAAACAAGGAGACCCCCCAAAAAGCCCCGCCATGAAGGTTTCACCAGCACGAAACATTCTCCTTGTCATGGGCTCCCCGAGTATTTATTAGAATATTTTATCATATCTGAGGGAGGCAAACTCAGCCCTGCTTGATCTCCTCCAGTTGCAACTCCCTTTTGAAAGGGATGTTCGTACAGGGAGTGACCTGCTCCGTGAATAAATTGACTCTGCCTCCGTCTCTCCCAGTCCTGGAATGTTGTGGAGACAAGGGTGGGCTGGAGAGAGGCTGCTTTGCATAATTAATATTTATCACTCGATCCCCAACAAGCACAATCCCCCCGTTCATCCCCAAAGAGTGGGGGGCTGTGTTGGCAGCTCCTTCCCTTTGGAAATCTCATCTCTGGGTGCCTGGCGAGGGGTCCAACCCCACAGGCACCCATGGGTGGGCACGGGATGGGGCACGGAGCTGGATCCAGAGGGAGACGGGGATGGGAACGGGGCAGCCCCGTCCCCCGCACACCCCAAAATCCCCAAGGTGCAGCTCCAGCCCTGGCAGCGGGAATTGCCCCATTCTCTGCCGGCTTGGTGGGACGGTGGGGCTGGATCCGCGCCTCCAGCCTTTTGTCTGCGGGAGAGGAATTAATTATTTTGTTCTCTCATTACCCTGGACTAAAAATCCATTTCTGAGCAGCATAAATTTAGGCGCCTGAAGTGGCTATTTTAACATCCCGGGAAACATTTCTCTCCCTCTCTCGCCCTTTTCCCAATCATTTCTGTCTCATTGGCAGCCATCGACGTTCCGGATGAAGCACAAGATGGAGGGACATTATCCAAACACGGCGAATGGGCCCTTCCAGGGTGGAAAAATGGGATGGCGAGGCTGTAGCGAGGTCCCCACCATCCCCACCATCCCCCCAAAACCCCCAAACCCCTCGGGCTGGGGGTCTGGGACAAATCCCAGCGCGGGCAGAGCAGAATCTGAGAACGGCCCCGCGAGGGACCGGCTGCCTCCGTGTGCTGCTCAATTGTTTGGAACATAAAATGGAAATTAATACATGGGGTGAACCTCCCCCCCCACCCCCCTCCCCGGCATCCCCCCCTTCCCCCCAGCGCCGCTCGCCTCGTTAATTGAACGGCGCGAAGCAAATGAGGTCAGAGCTCACTTGAGCCAGACAAGGACACGGGAACACGCGCGGCTGCCGGCGAGGCAGGGCTGTACCTGCCCGTGTTTAGCATTCCTGCCGGGATCCGCTCATTAAAAACCTAAAAGGCGGCTTAAGCATCCCATTAGAGCCTCCCGAGCCGGGCTCTGGAGCCTTCCCTGGCAGCCGAGTTTGCGGGGAGAGCCGGGCACGGGGAGGGGGTTTGCAGCCCCTGCCCCATCGCGGGCTCTGCGGGAGGATTTGGAGCTTTTTTGGGGGATTTGGAGCTTTTTTGGGGGGATTTGGAGCTTTTTGGGGGAGATTTGGAGCTTTTTGGGGGGGACTTTAGAGCTTTTCTGGGGGTCCCTCGAGGCAGAGGCAGGAGAGATGCTGGAGCCCCGGGTCTGGGTCAGGCTCCTGCTGTTGGGGACCCCCAGGACCCCTCCTTGTCCCCTCATCTCCTCTTTTTCCATGGAAATCCCCTCAGCCGAGCTTTGGGAACAGTTCCCACGCCGTGCCTCAGTTTCCCCAGCTCTGGCAGGGCCCTGGCCGTGGGTGCTGACCCTTCCCATTTTCCAGGGGTCCCCAGGGATGTTCCCAGCACCGATTCCTCCCCTGGGATCAGCCCCTGCTGCTGTGGGAGCTCCGCTGGTGCTGCTCCAGCCCTTCCTGGCCATGGATCACCGGGATTTTGGGAAGAGGATCCCTGTGGGACCCCTCCCAGCCTCCCCTCACTCAGGACAGCCCAAGGGGCTCCGTGCCAGGGCTGTGGCACCAATCCCTCGGGATTCACCCTTCCTGTGGCACTGGATGTTGTCACGGCTCCAGGGGCCAGGTGGGGACCCCACTCCTCGTGTCCCATCCCAAACAGAAAATGGGGAGCACTCTGAGCCACCCCAGGGCTGCTCGGTGCCCCGGCCAGGAGCACCCACACTTCGAGGCCTGTGTCAGGTGACACCTGAGAGCCACCTTGTGCCACCTCCTCGGGCCTTTGGCTTCCCCAGCCGCTCCATCCTCATCCCAGAGACCTCAAGGAGCCAACCCAGAGCCCACCCAGCATCTCCCCTCTCCAGAGGAGGCTCAGGCATTCAGCATTCCCTCTTTCCCAGCATCTCCCTGCATCCTCCTCCACTTCCTCCTTCTTCCCTTTCACCCTCTCTTCCTTCTTTATTTTTTATTTTTTTTTTTTTTTAAAGACAAGAAATGAGTTGTCTTCCCGCAGATGTGACTAAAAGCACTCTGGAAATGTCAGCCACTGCTGGAAAGGGACCCAGATAACATTTAGCTTTAGGTAAGAGAGTAGATTTTCTCTGCACTAATTCATATTTATAAGCTCTCGTGTTCCCGGGGAGAGCGCGGCGCTGATGGCACTCGCTGATTGCCAGCGCGAGGAGCAGGGAATTGTTTTCATATCCGAGATTAAAGAGTGCTTTCTGCTCCCAGTGGCACCTGTGTATTTACACTGGTCATTCTCAATTCATTCTTATAAG